TTATGCAGTGCAACCCAAGTCCAACTTTGCATGTAGATAATCGACATGTAGGACCCATTAAAATCATTAATGACAGCAAAACAGATGAGTCTAAACACCGAATGCTACTTCTACAACTTATAACATCACAGACAGACATGCCATTAAACCCTGTCTCAATAAAATTACCAAAATTCAAGATATCTTAAAAGTTGCAAGTACTCACTTACGTGTTGTAAAAGCTTTAATTTCTTGTCCACACGCCTGTCTTTTCCCATTACAGCATGGAGAACATCTAGTACCAGTTTGGTACATTTATCCAGGACACGTCTCTGTACAAAACATTGTCCCTTTTCCTTTCATAGCTGTGATCAAATGTGTAAACAACAAACAATCTGAAGTAGAAAAGGACACAGCCTTCTGTCATCATTAGTGTGGCTCAGGCAAAGAGATGCACATCCAATCCAGGCCCTTTTTTGCTGAATTGAATTACCCTTTGCACCTTATTTTGATGAAAGGACAAGACTGTTTGAAAAGGCTTGTACTTACTGCTCCTTGTTATTTATTTATTTTAGTAAGCAAAATTTATAATGAATTGTTAATGTCCTCCCTCTGACTGTCAACGACCCTGCGTGTGATGAGTTCAAGGTTTTAACAATGTGACTGTTGTCTCATTTGTCACTGTTTGATCCGGTTTGTCACTTGTCCAATTTGTGTCTCCACTCAAGCCCAGGGGCAAGATGCAAGATGATTTTTTTAAAGATCAGTGAGCTGTATACATCTTGGAGAATCTTCTACATGACTAGGAGTACAATATACAAGCTGTCCTCCTATCATATAGCCTCCCTAAGGAGAGGTTTTCTGTGTTATTTTCAGACTTATTTAAATGTGTGTTTCCTTTATGTTCTGATCTGAAAATCAAACTTAAAGTAGAAAGAGTGTATAAGCACTCTTTCATATTCATGAGCACACTCAAGCACTAATACAAACACTAAGTTATGTCCGCTGATCAGTGCATGCTGTAAAATGTTTGTACTTCTTGTCTTCTCTGTCAAACACCAGCAGGAGTCGTCAGAGGGGATTCTCGTTCAGAGATGACAGCATAATTACCAAGCTCCTGAGATACTGCAGGTTTCATTGCACTGTGACAGCCACGCATTAAAGACCATTCAAATTCCACTTGTTTTCAGTTACTTGTTAAAACCTGTCGTCTTACTGTTAAATTTTGCAAGAACAATCAAAAGATAACAGCCTCCTGGTAGAGTGCTGACAATTTACAGAGAAATTAAAAGTAAAGGTGCAAAGAACTTAGCAGCTCAGACTATTGTCTTTTAGATCCCAGGTTTTGAGAGGAGTTTTCTTTTGAACAACAATCTGTAAATAGAGTTGTCTGCAAACCAGTGCTTGACCAAAAGTACTGCTTGAGGAGGGTAGTGGTCATTCAATTTTATTATCTGCTGCTTTAGATGAGCAAATGCAAGCAACAGCTTCTCCATCCAGGCCGTCTGCATTACACACACTCATGCTACTCTGTGCCAATCTTCAGCCTCCATATTTATTCCAGCATGATTGTAAAAATCAGTCAAACAATTGTGAAATCAAGTCAATCAAGAACCAGCTGCCTCCTCTTCAAATGTTATCAGAAAATCAAAACAAAAGCTTTGACAGACGGTTAACTTCCACATCTCCTCTGTCTTTTTTTTTTACTGTCAACAATTGAGAGCAGAAAATTGGCAGAAATCCTTGTTATTGTAAAGCTCCTCACAAGCTTATTAATTTTAGACTCATCATTTCTTGAAGTCAGCAACCCAACCCACAAAATAACCTGGAAATTATCCTTTTTTTCTGTGTATTCACCTGTTACCAATTTCTGCTGTATGACAATGTTTTCAGAACGACTGAAAAAGAAAATCTCTGCTCAGCAGAGGAGGTATAGACCAAACATGCATATGACATTCACTTTTATATAAGTAGAAGTCTCCTTATCTTGAATTTGAAACACAATCTATGATATATTTGACAGGAAGATAGTAAGCATTTTACTATGTTACCAACACAGGCACAAGTAATTCTGTTCAAAACCAAAAAACTGATGCACACAAAAAGATTAAAACAACATCCATCAGATAAAAATAACTACTAAAAACTAAAGACACCACAGACAACAGATGTGGATTTAAACAGCACCCGAACAAGAGCAAAAACATCTGTGATACCTTTTAAGATGAAAACAGAGGCACAGCTCTTGCTTGCTAGCTAACAGCTGCTCATAAATAAAGTAAGTAATGTTGGATGTGGACTTTAAGGCTAATGTAGCTGTGGCTGTATAGTTATAACAACTCTTAAAATATAAAGTTAGAGTGTACAGCTAGATGTAAAGAAAGTTTACGAAAAGGCACTAAATGTAAGTAGAGCACACATTTGCACAAAGACTTCAACAATACTAATAGTATTTGTGAAGACATTCTCAAAGACGGTTTAGTGAACTCGTCGATCCAAAACACGGCCTGTTGACTTAGTTAGCCAAACAAACGCAAAAGGATAGAGGCTTTCTTAAAGCTCATGGGAGAGCTTGCTGTCCTTGAAGGTAGCTCAGGTGTTTCCTTCTCCATCCTCCTATTAGTCTTCCTCATCCACCTTTGTTGACAACAGGCCCTATCCACCCTGTAGAGTTGTCATTAACGGTGTAAACAGTCCTAAAAAAAGTAAACTTAACTGTCGGATTAGCACGAACTTTTGCACTGCGCTGAGTCCGCTTTACAGAAGCTTCTTTTTTCTTCTTCTGGTTATTGACGGTCGGCAGGCCAGCCAAGAAATGTGTTACCTTACACGAGAGACTTCCAATCCAAAGTAAAGTATTTTTACCTTGTTGAATGCTTCCAGTTTAAGACAGACAGGCAGACGAAAGAAAAGTAAATGAGTGAACTTAATATCGCATCAAAGTTTAGCTCTCATTTCCTTTGGCCTCACTGGAAAATCATTGTAACCTATAGCTAACTACTCGACAATGTCAACAAAAACTGAAGATGTTGAAGCTTCATAAAAGTAGAATTTACGGCAGACCTGTTGTATTGGGTTGCATCAGATCGTCCAACTGTTCCTAATGTTATGGCTGGTCAGTATACACATTTTATTTCCTACATTTTCATTATAACTTTTTAATATATATTCATGTATTCCTATATTTTAACGCACAGCCTTTTTTGTCTAAATGAAATCCTTGAGGCGAGGAAAAAGGCCACACATCAATGATTGGAAGTTGACTTTCTCTGATAAGGTAAAGCCAGTTTCCCTTTTTTCCATACTTTAGATATAGAATTCTATTATTAAGATTCTACCAAGTAGCAAACTTTAACCATGAATCATTCATATCTATTCAGAACTGGTTTGCACTCACACTTGAACTTGCAATATAATAGGACTGATGAGAGCCTCAATACAGTCACAGTCAGTGAGTACAGTATACTCACGGTGTTTCTGATGTGGAAAAAAAGAATCCTTCCGCGTGAGAGAGAAAAGAAATTGCTTAGACCTTGTGTAATGAACATACTTTGCAGTACGGCACACTATTGATTGAACAAATCCCCCATGAAACTTGAAACAGTGGCAGAGAAATGAAAAGGGACGTTGCTGAAAGACTTAGGGTAGACATCCTGCACAACATGAGAATTTTAATAGGATTAGCTCAGAGAGTAGACTTCCCTACACTTATCTGGAGGCATAGTGAGAACACCCTATATCACAGTTATTCTTTAGGATTTTCTCAGAGCTCTCAAACTTTCATATTGGAGTGAAATGGCAACGTTTCTTTTATTCTGAGAGGTGCTTCTACCTGTAGCAACATTTCAAATGGGAATAAAAAAGGTCTGAAAAGTTTAGGTAAGAGGAAGCACAGTGATGATTGAAAAAGACCTAGCTTAGTTTGATTTATTGGAGCTGCAACAGCCACAGTAGTTGAGCATTACAGCTGGTAGCTTATTGATGCGATTTATAAGGCAACAAACTCTTTAAAGTATTTTCACCGGTTTAATTTCATCATCACTAAATGACAAACAATCACTTGATATTTAGGAGAAAACGTTTTTATAAAACAACCAAGATATAAAAGAAATCTGTGTGCATTTAAAAATATATATTCTTATCTCTCCTGCTGTAATATAGAATGATCACTGTGTACTCTTACTATATCCCCTACTATTTATAAGTGTAACGGCTCATGCCTCTGATTAATAGTTGGGGAGATAAGTCATTGAGCTACACCTCGCTACATTCACTATCAGCGTAACCACCAGGTCATGACAGGAGTGAAATATACCTCAATGTTTTTACTGTTTTAGTTGACTAACTGGGTAATACATCATCCAGAAAGAGTAAACTTACTGTGGCTCGGTGTGAATTTTAATGGTGCAGAAACAGTAGGGTGAACACTCAGCATATCTAGACGTTTATTTATAGTTTTGCCTTTACCCCTCTTTTTCTTTTATACACATTCAGGTCTACCTATTTTGAGAAGCTGCATGCTTGTTTTTTTTTTTTTTTTAAAGAGGTCGTGAGGAAATCTTTAGGAAATGTTGTTTTGAGGAAACATTTCAAGAAGTGAAAGAAGCAGCAAACCTCTTCATTTTGATTTCCTAATTTCTATTTTTTGACTTTCTAGTGTCAGGAAGGAAACTACAAAAGTTGTCGGACGCCCTTTGAATCCATTGGTAATGCGTGCGTTGGGGACTGACAGTATTATGCAGGTAGTGAAACCTGAGATCCAGTCACCTGTTCTGCTACCTGAACCCTGGGCCCGGAGATGGAAGAGGAGGAGGAGGAGAGAAGCAGACTCACTGCCTGCCTGGAGGATTCGGCTCACAGGCCTCGGGTGCTGCTGCAGGTTTTAAAGATACATGTTGGGTGCTTTTTAACCAGCACAGCTAAACCAGTCCAGATGTATGTGTGTGGGAGGGTGTATTAACAGAGAAATTTCTACACCTACTGAAGCGTTTCCTTGAAAGGAAATCACTCTTAAAATTCTACCGAGGGCACGGGCTCGCCATTTCTTTCATTTGTGCAGCATATTCAGCTCTCAGCCTTCAGGTGGCTAACCTGAGCTCTCAGGGTCATTTGTATAAAAAATATTTACTCGACTGATGAGCTGTGCTTTGCTCCTTGATTCCCTGTCAGCTGAGAGGAGTTTCTACGGGGGCTTTAGGAAATACCACAGTGCATTTTTAGCTTCTCAGGGACTGCACTGATCTGTTTTTCTCCAGGAGAATCGGGACTGTGGCTTTTGCTGGAAGAAGTGGATATAAGAGAGGAGCAAGAGCTGGTGCAAGGACTTTGAACACACTGCTTTATCAGGTAGGAAAGCTTCATAATGTGTGCAACAAGAGTGTCAGAGCCATGGTGTTGTTTTTTTCACAGTTAAGCTCCTTCTTGCGCGGTAATATTTGGGTCTATATAACAGTGAATTTGTGTTGCTGTAGGAGAAATAGACATAGGCAAATACCTTGAAGGAATCTCAGAGTGTGGACCTCAGGCTAACGGTTCAGGCAAGGACTTTGTCAGGCACAACCACCACAAATAAGAAGATATAAAGTATATTCCAAAATCTGTGCTGCATCCAAGTAATGCTGAACATTTAATGCAAATAGAGACAAAAACAAAATAAATAATATTTTCATCATTTTGATGTGCACAAGTATTGACTACTTTCAATAAATGAATTATCATGGCAGCTGACTATCAAAAACAATTGTTACAAAGACTTTATCCTCACACAGAGGAAATGTTTGCTTGTGTGGTGGATCTTCACCAAAATTCAAAAGGTTTTGCTTGGTTCCAAAAAAAGTGAATGAAAACCAAGGTTCTAGTAATGCAGCTGAGAAGCAGAAAAATAAACAGCATCAAAGGCATAACCTTGAGTTGATCAAAATAATCAATAGAAGTTTGTGTAAGATGTCAGGACAATAAATGTTGCATTTATGGCTGAACTCCACGAATACACCTATTGCTTTGGATTCACTGAGTGAACCAATAAAAAGGCTGCTTTAAAGGGTCGATAAATTCCATAGTTGCTTATCTGTGCAATTTCCAGTGTCTGTTATTGCTGTGTCAGGTGAGAATAAATGGCAAGCATTTAAAACTTAGACTCTAAAGACCACCGGTATGTTTTCCTGCTGTGAGTTCAAACAGATTAAGTCCCATGTGACTGAATTCCAGTGAACCACAGTCAGGACCATTACCCCACACCAGACTCTGTCTGATTAATTGCTCTAATATAGAAACCATATAGAAGAAAAGGATGTCGTTATATAATTCTTTTAGGCTAGATTTCTTGTTAGGAAGAGAGGGACAGCACAAACGACAGTGTGCAGAGAAAGTGAAGGTATTCTAAGCATTAGCAAGGATACATATAGGATAATAAAACTACCGGATGACAAAAATAACTCGAGCTAACATGACATATCTGAATAAGAGCATTTTGTTCCAGTGTTTTCTCCGTGAGCCGCATTTCTACACCGGCTGTGCTGATGGGCTTATCTCTCACATACCCACAGCTCTGCTCAGCCTGTCTGCTTCCTAACCAACTGTAGGTCCCATGGCCTCCCTCTCTGTTCCTGGCACTGTCATGAGCACAAAGGTTTACTCAATCACTGGTTTCCATGCATGCGACAATAGGCATATGGTCACATCAGCCAAGTACAAACCCTGTTTTTCTCTCTGTGTGCTGTCATTGTATCTGTCTCACACACAAACACGCACAGACAGTTTTCATTTTCTCTCACCCGCTTTGCGTGTTTGGTTTTTTAACTGCACAACTGTTTTTTTTTTTTGACATTTTTCTGGCCATAAATCTCTTGACAAGACCAAAGATGTCAAAGATGAATTTGTCTGTTAACTTTCTTTGGAGATCCACAGCCTGTCGGAGTCTCTCAACCCCAAACTCTGTCTTTTCATTATAAGGAAATACATTTTTAAAGAACCATTAAAAATACACACCCTCATTTTTAGAAAAATTGAAATGTCTTCGAACAGCTTGGCCACACTGCCAAGATTTATCATAATGAAGAAACGCGTCACTCAGTGCACCATAGTGTGGTTTTTGGTTGTGTTTAACCAGCTTTTAGACAAGTGCATTATGAGCTATTAAAAGTGGCAGTCACTTAGTCTATGGGGACTTGGCTGGGGAACTCTCAAGGTTGCAGTTCACCTCCTCCTGGACCAATATACTGAACCTCTTAAATGCTCTTGGCACCTAAACGTATGGCAGCTCTCTCTCCAAGACATCTCTTTTTCCTGTTACCTATCAATATATTTTAGGTCAATGTGTTTGTAGAAGAGCAGAGTGAAAAATCTGAGGGGCTCCTCAGGATATACTGTAGATGGACGACATGACAGCTCTGTAAAAGTGAAGCCAAATCATTTAAGGCTACTCTTAGTCACTGGCTGGTTAAAAACCTGCCTGCCTCCTCCATGTTGATAGATGGAAACATGGCTGAAACTTTAAGCTCCTGTGAGGAACTTTTAGATTGTGTCATTTTTGGCACCCATCACTGATCTTGTCATCTACATGCTTAAGTGATATATTTTAACAAAATAAAATCTCATAGTGCTGACTTTTGACAGTCAGATGTATCATTTAATGTGAATATTTTATGTTGAAATTAGAAGGGCTGTTTCTTCAGCTGTCCTGCTAACAATAAACCCCCCTCTTCTGATTTCATTCATTAAAAATCACAAAATAAAGACAGTCAGTGTTAGATTTAAAAAACAAAGACAGTCAAAATCAATTACTGATGTTGTGTGTCCTTCTTTAATTGGATAGGTGTCTCTGAAGCAGCTGCAGTCATGCAGGGGTCTCTGGTTTGTATGTACTTACAGATTTTTCCTGCGGGAAATTCTGGCCAATCAGAGAGCCCTTTTCTCACACATCACAGATTGTGATCCGATTGTAAATGCCCCCATGTGAGCACAGACAGAAGTTAATATAATTATGCAATAATGTAATATAGTACTCCATGGTTTGGACCAGACAAGCTACGGGTGTGAAATCTTCCTAAGTTACAGCAGTGCATGAGAGGCAGTCAGTTTTTGGAAACTCCCAGAGGGAAAAGGGTTTGACTGATATTGGTTTCTGCAGCACTGCGTTTCTGTTGTCACCTTAAAAAAGCCTAAAGCCGTCTGTCTCATAAATACACTCTTCCTCCACCTCCATCACCCCTCTGCTTCATGGCCATCCTCAAATGACCGTCTCTTAGGAGTCACTGTGGAGCACTGTTCACAATGGCAGAGTTCATATTAATTCAAGAGTCAGTAAACTATACAAAACCAAGGCTGCAAGCTTTAAATCAACCCAAGAAGTTATTAAACATTAGACTGTACCCACCTGAGAGACCTTTGCATTTTTATAAGTAAGTTAAAGGGATATTCTGTTGTAAAATTAATTTGGGGTCAAACACATCATAACACAGAGTTAGACACCCCCTCAAGAGATGAATGTTGCTGACTGCTTGCTTCTCTAGTTATACCAACTTAAGTAATGACCGCATATAGCAATACACATCGATCTATGGAACCACACACAAACCTCAACCAGAACGCCACTCTATAGCCACAAATAATGCTCAGAACAGCACCTAACCTCATCAACAGTACATATAGGGTCTACGACACAGTACTAGCAACCAAACATCTTTTTAGCTTTGCCTGATTTCTTTAGCAAAGCGACTAAACACAACTCACCCACTCTCTTCCAGCAGCTGCTTGTTTGTAGTGAGACCTTGGGCCAGTCCATTACAAACTGCTGTGGGGTGACGCAGCTCAAGGAAGAACATTTATAATCATGACTTTATCATTTCCTTGAAGTAATAATCACCATATTTGGCTGCTGGAAGAGAGTGGGTGAGTTGTGTTAAGTCTCTTTGCTAAAGAAATCAGACAAAGCTACAAAGATGTCTGGTGGCTAGTGCTGTGGCTTGGACCCCACATGTACTGTTGATGAAGTTAGGTGCCGTTCTGGGCATTATTTGAGGGTATAGAGTGGCGTTTTGGTTGAGCGAGTGGCTCTCTGTATTGCTATCCTGCTGTCGTGACTAAAGTTGGTTTAACTAGAGAAGCAAGCTGTTGGCAACATTCGTCTCTCCAGGGGGTGTCTAACTCAGTGTTACGGTGTGTTTGACCCCAAATTAATTTGACACCAGAATTTCCCTTTAAATATGTGTTTAGGTAAGTAGGAGTGGACAGCATCATTACCACAACTCCATTACTTCGCTCCAATCCCCACTGTGCAGAGTCTGCAGAGTCTGAATCATGTCACAGTGCAGTGCGCCAGCATGCACCCTTCACTGGAGGGGTTTTGACCTCACTTTTGCACACTTCTTACACAGTCAGTGGTCTCTATGTATTGTCCTTTCTAATTCCAGTCACACCATGAATTCAGTGTTTTTTTGAAAATAGACTGAAAAGTAGGTGTACTTGTAAAGCGGCTGCTTTAAAGGAATGTACTTCAAATTACAATGTTGAATTAACATACACTCTCTGTAACAGCTCTGGTACCTTCTGTTGCAGATATTGCAAGACTACAGACTCAACTTTTCACAAACGCCACACATCCTCGAACGTACTCTGTAAAGTGTCACCGGGAGCTGATTAGCATGTCCTCCCACGTGTCCTCAGCTGGGATCTGATGACTGCGAAGGCCACACAGACGCATACGATTTGCATCATTTCCATACTTAAACAATCCAGTGAGTCCTCATTCCCTTTGGAAGCATCTGCATCCTATTTTTTCCTGCTCGTTTACTTTGGTTTGTCCTTGAAGCTGTCTCCTCCTGTAGTAATATAGACAAACTCCTATGCAGGTGTATTTACATTTTCTTCACAACTCTGAGCACATGGGTGTAACTAAACAAACATCAAGTTTAAAGACTCTCTTTGCCCCTTTCTCTATTGTTTTGGTGTATACCTTGTTGAATTCCCCATTTTAGGACAAATTTTGCTTCAACTTGCGAACAAAGTCCAACTCACCTCTCCTTTTATTTAGTGAAACATTATGAGAGTGTTGTGGTTCCTCCAATTATACTCTCCGTTTTAGTAGGAAAAAAATCAAAGGAAAAAAAAGCGGTAAAGCTGCAAATGTATTAACTTCTATTTCAGTGCCGTTGTTCAAGCCTGCATTTCCCTCCCATGTGGCTCACCTCAAAGTGGAGCACGCAGGGTAAACATAATTACGTTTCTTGTTTCATATCCACAGCACTGTCTTAACCTAACGTCTTAACAGGCCAACAATGTGACTTCAATTTGCAAGGTCTCGTTGTGACTCAGGAAGTATACTCTGTATTCATGAAAAGTTTATTTAGAGTGAGCTGTGCGATTTCCTTTAAACTTAGTTCTATTGGCTCTGCTGGACTTTATTTGACTGTATGAAGAGTGCACTCAGAGTATCACGACTGAATAAGTGAACTATACAGAGGTGAAAACAAAAGAGTTCAAAAGGCCCTTCTTGTGCCATCAAAAAATAAGAGTCTTAACATTAGAGCTTGTGTTTAGTTTTAAGTAATCATCCAAAAATATGCCAGGCAAGCAAGATAGATGTGTTAGAGGAGTCATCATCAGCTGGGTGAGAGAGAGACTCGTTTTGTGGGAATGAATGTGACTCGAGGCATTAAATAAGTGATTGAATGATAAGGCGAATGACTAATGTGATATTGAGGTATTAGCAGGAAAACTATTTTAAATAGTGATGAGTAGGTAAATCTGATAATTGTTTTTCAAGATGAGAACTCCTTTGAAGTGCACTTCAGTATTAAATCATCATGCCATTAAAATCAGCAGATGCAGCATTCACAGTTATAGTAAACTGTATTTTTCTCTCTTTTGTGCCAGCAGAGGTCAGAGCAGCTGGTCAATGTCACTGGGTTTCCGTAGTTGGACGTCCCCAAGCCGATCAACACCCAACATCCATGAGGTAAAAAGATCTGCACTTAATCTGAGGTCTTGTAATCTGGGAAGTAATGCTGTGTTTGAGTTACCTCGGAAGTCCGAGCTGAAAATAACGTCACACCCGAGTTACCAACTTTTCATTTTAGCGCTTGCCTTATATTCGGTAAAGGTAAGCACTAAAATAGCTTTCGTAGATCTAGCTATCTTGTTTCCGCCTCTGTTTTCGCTTTTTTCCGATTTGGTAACTGAAACGCTTGGAACCCGGGTGTGACGTCATTTTCAGTTCCGATATCTGACTTCCAAGGTAACTTGAACGCAGCACAAGTACCCTACTTTATGTGCAATGAATGGGTGGATATTCTGCATGACTATGTTCTGACATTTGTTACCTGAAGACGTAAATCAAGACACCCAGTGAGTATTATATTTTCTTACGCTCTTAGAGAATGCTTGTTTAACAAGTCAACACAATTTGTGGATGTAGCACACACAATGTTACCCAAGGGTTTGTGAGTGACACCATCAGCTGTCTGTTTTTTTATCAAACGTATTCAGATCAAAGGTGAATACGCAACAGGTAGAGTTGAGTTGAGTTGAAAAGGCTGAATTGACAACAAACAAGCAGCTATCCAACTGTTACTGCAATTATGCACATGTTTAATGGTAATATCTGTTTTTTATTGAGTGAGTAACTCATAAAGGGTTTTTAAACAGATGTTAAGTTGTGATTGTTCAGAAAACAAGCTCCGGAGACTGTAACACAATCCTGTTTCAGACTGTAGACATCATTTCTGTGGCATAGTTGAGCATTTTTGATACAGGACTCAAAGGGAGCTGACTCAATGGCCCTAAATGTTTACTTCAGGAACTGCTGTTTTGTCATTCTTGCATCCTGGATGCTGCTTTGGACCAAAACAATTTTGGATTCTTGAACAAGAAATCTCCTCGACCTTCCTCAATGTTTTTAAATATGAACATTTTCTTGTGCCTCCATGATACTGAATTCAAAACTGAAAAGAGCAGGTAGTGTATTAAGATTGATTGAGTTTTTCAGCATTAAAGCATCGTTGGTGTACATTGAAATAACTTGTCACTGAGTGCTGCCCATCAAATTAAACATTGTCATGGCAACAGCAGCAAATCAAAAAACAAGTCATGCAGAGGAGAGCAGTGAATAAGTCCCCCCAAAGACTCCACAGCCACTAATATCTTTGTATTTGTAGTCTTTCTTGGTTGAGAATGTCTCAGTTTGCAGAGGAGTCAATTGCACACTTAGAGCTCAATTCTGATATGAAGCTTTGTCTTTTCTTTGTCTTTTCACAGGCCTCAAGTAAGGATATTGCTGCTTCACTGCACAAGAATGTGCTGTCATGGGGTGTGTGGCGGGGGCCACAGCAGAAGGAGAGTGTGTCTCCTCGAGCAATAACACACTCTGCTTACTCTCAGACTGCAGATAGAAGGTCTTACAGCAGCGTTTCCAACTTGTTCAGGTCTGCAAGTGTCCCAGATGTGGAGGGAAGGAGTCCAAAGACAGCTTTTTCTTCTATTACCATCGCAACCCGGAAGGTCCTGCCATCATTCTCTGCCTCACGGGAACCTGTGTATCTATCAGCTTCAACACAGTTTGTAAAGGTACCCGCTGCACCTAAGGTAACTTTTGGAAGAGCCCTTTCCTTACCTGTGAGCAGAATGAAAGTCTCAAACTCCCAGCCGGACATGTGTCGACAGAATTCCACTACCGTGACCCCAAATGACTTCAGACAGGTCTACTCACCGGCTGACGAGTTGGCGTTGAGGGAAAGAGGAAAGAGGAAGGTACTTGTTTGGCGCAGATTGAGCCGCACAGGCACTAACAGAAAGCAGGACGTGATGGGCGGCTCTTTAATGGATCTGTCCCCACAGCCATCCTACAGGTCTTGTGTCCATCTGGAGGTGCCTCTGAGGTCAGCCAGCTCTGTTGTGTTTTTAGACAAGTCACTTTGCATTTCCCTTGCGGACCTGGAGGGAAGGAGAGCAAGTCAACCCACTTTGTTCAGGTCAACCTTTTCTATTCGCCTCGGTGGCTCATCCTGCCGCAAATCCTCAACGAATAGCAAAGAAGCCAAAAGAAATTTGGGTTACGGGAGACCCAGATCAGCCAAATTGGGTGGTTACAAACGAAGTAACCGAGGAAGTAATTCAGGCCACGGTGGAGCCCCTTCACCAAAGTACAGAGGCGACAAGGTTGAGAAAATAGCACCTGCTTGTGGTGTTAACAGCAATGCTGACGGCTCAGACACACAGTGCCATGGTGCTACTTCAGGATTATTGTCATTCAGAGGGCCGAGCCACTCAAACACAAAGGCTGGAAGGCAGAAGGGGAATGCTGATGAGGCAGCTTTCCCTGTCCGGAGCAATTTCAAGCAAAGGCAGTATACTTTCAATACCCGCCCAGGTATGAATTTCTCAGTATCACCTTCCTTCCGGAGTGAAAATCTAATGTGCCCCTGTCAATTGATCTGTATACTCTTGTCAGTTGCTTGTATACTCTAAAGTTATTATTGGTAAGATTTTGGAGGCAAAACAGCAAGATGAATGAGCCACCAAGGTTGTCTCAGGGGGCAGAGTTTTATTTGTTTCGATCAGTTTTTCACCTTTTTTTTATACCTCATGCATTGTAAACAGCACCAAACCCACACACAGCTTTTCTTTTACAGTGCATTTACACTGTTTTCAAATAAATCCCATCTGGTACTCATGGACTTCTGCAGACTTCAACACAGTCTTTAATTTATTCCTATCAAAAAAAAAAAACAACACTATAAAATCTTGAGTTAGCATCTGCCACTGTAATGTATATATTAACAGTGTGTTGCAGGTATCTAAAGATAGACTGAATTAACATGATTTCAAATAATCTTTCTCTCCTGGTACTCAACTAAAAATAACATCAAAGATATGAGAACTGAAATATGAAATATGATTTGGTTAATTTAATCAAAGTGCCAGGACCTCTTTGGGTGATACAAGTGATAACCAAGTGAGTAGCAACGTTTTGGGTGGGGTGTACATGGACAGTCCCCAAAGGCCCCTCTGTGCATGTACAGATTTTCATTCAAGCAGTTTAAAAAGAGGACCCTGTATACTCATTCCCCTGTTTTAGGGACTGCAGCTACAACATGCTAGTACTAAAAAATTTGAATTAGGTTTTTCACTGCATTTTTGTTTCTTACACTTAAAAATGAATAGTACAAGATTTTAGGGAATGAGCAAAGACACTGCAAGCCGCAACCACTTAAGCCGAGCATGGACTTAACATAAGTGAATATTGTTTTATGCTAATAACACTTTAAACAAATAACTTTGACCAGCTGCAGAAACTCAGCTTAAATGCCATATGGTTGTGTTAGTTGAAACTACCTCATGTACCTGAAGAGTAGTTAAACATCTGCCGCTGCAATGAGTAACACCTGACTCTATGTAAAGGCTAAAAGATTTCTAGAAATTATTTGTTAAAACCTGAAGTAAGACTAAAAAGTAAAAAACAAATGATGAAAACAGTCATCACAAGTGCCCGAGAAATAGCTCAGCCAGTTTTTTCTTCATTATTCTTTATGCCAAGCTAATGGGCTGTAGACTTGAGACTGGAGAGTGTGGACCTTTCCAGGACTGGAAGTGGAGCTGATGGACAAAAGGACAGGAAAAATGTGATGCCACCGCCTGAAGCAGTTTCAGAGTCATACCTGCCTGCCATGGCTGTTACACAGACTGTCTGAGGAAAACAACTGCAACACAACACTTTTTAATTATTTAACCACTCTCTCCTCTCATTACAGCATTTATTTCCTGCTCCATCCAACAGCTTTTTTTTTCAGTCTTTCTCTCTTCACACTATTGTTTTGCTTCAGTGGATGCTGCATTCATTCTCGGGCCTAAAGGGCGAGAAATAACCAGAGGCAATAACTTGACCGGTGACATTACATCTTTGGTGTGTGCTTTGCAGAGCATGTTGTGATGCTTTATCTACACATTGCATGGTCATGGAAAGGTATTGAGGGGGTGATATACATTCTTTGAGCGTAAGAGGAATGGAGTTAAGGGGCAGAGTGAATGCAGTGTCATCTTTTACATTATTCATGGTACACACTCATGTTCCCTTTGTGTTTTTTCTTTTGTAGAGTGGGCTCAGTTTGAAGTATGTTTCTTTTCATGCTTGTCCAGATCATACAAACCCAGCCTTGAGAAGGACTATGAAACATATGGTTTAGTAAATTGGAGAATTATTAACATGCGGCTTCCTCAGATCATTATCCCCTTGGAGAACTATCCAGCCTTTCCCCTTCAATCAACTTCCTTTTCCTTGTTTGTAGGTGGAAAGATTTGACATGCAACATAAAACAACACACTAATCGAACTTCTCTTTGTGTCTCTTCAGTGGACTACAGAACCTGGAGCAAGCAAACACGAAGCAACAAGGCGGAGGAGCGACAAGAACCAGACAGTTCTACACGGCTTCAAAAGGTCTCCGCTTCGGAAAAGAACTTGTCAAAACCAAAGGCTGCTTCTCTTGGAGAAACAGCCCAAACTCTCAGCCTCAAAGTAAGAGTGTAAAATTTCTCTGACCTTGATCCTCTTTCTAAATAAAAACTTCAAAGAAGCAAACAAGCAAAACGGAAACTTCAAAGCGAACCTTACATTGACCTCCCTTAAAAAAAAGCCGTTTAGCATAAATTTCTGTAGCACTAGGTTGCTAACTAGGATTTCTGTGTTGCCTCTGTAGTTTAAAAAGTCATATCAACAGAATTAAGTTGTCACAGAAATAGATCAGCTGTTATCATGTGACCTGAGCCGAAAACCTTGGGTCATGCAATAACAAGTAATCATAAAGATAGACCTGTCTCTCCAAAGTGACCTTATCAATAACTGATGAACCATCCATAAGATGAAGGCCATGGTAGGAGATCAATAAAAGACCCGTATATTACCTGACCAGCAAAGGGCATTAAAGGGAGGGCCTTCTGACAGTAGGTGTCTGCAGGTGACCATCCATTTCAACAGATGCAGAAACAACACGCATCAAAATAAAAAAAAAAAAAGTGAAACAAAATCAGTCTCAGTATTGTTTATCAGGTAATTATTGATCGTCAGCACTGACTGTGCATCAGTAATTATAAATGTTCCAAATCATCAATAAATAACCTTGACAACATCTTTTTAAAAAGTCTTTATTTGGAGAAGGGCAAATATGGAAAGAAGTAAGAAATGTTGATATGAATATAATAGGGGAGAGTGGGGTAAGTTGAGCCACCCCTCTGTTGTTTGGAAATGGTAAAGAAATTGATCATGTTACCAAATATTTAGGAGATGGGCATCAATTCATGGAGTCTGTGAAGGTTAGAAGCACATGGGTGAAGGGGTTAGATATTTATTTACAAAAAAACATTTTTCACTCTTGAAAGTGAATTTAGTCTGTCATAAGTTTTATTAGAATTGTTTTCAGACCAAAAAAGATCATTTTAAATAAGTTTTATACATTAATTGTGGTATCTATGAGCATAACATAACATAAAAGTTCACCATTTTAGCTTAGAGGACTAATAAAATCATCATAGTAGTTCTGGGGTAAGTTGAGTCAGTGGTTCAACTGAGAAAGTAAATGAGTCTGATGAGAGGATCAGAGTTTCAGTTCAGATTGTTGAAATGTGTTACTTTATCTTTTCAAAAATATAGCTGTGAATGTTCTAAATCACTTCAAGACATTCTCATGTTAAAATGTTTTTTTATAATCAGCTTTTTAGCAGTCATATGCAATAGTAATGAAAATAATTATTGTACCAGTTGAATAATAGATAAAAATACACATGAATGTGAAGAAGTGACTGTTATTTAGGGAGAGAGAAGGTCAACTTACCCTATACACGGGGTAAGTTGACCATAGGAAAACACTTTTTTTGGCAAGCTATATTATCAGGGCAGTTATGTTTACACTCATTCTGTTGGTTTGCAGGGATGCACAATATCTTGAAATATATGCAGATACTCTAGTTTGAGACAAAACTATGATTATCTTGATGTAGCGGTCCAAAATATGAAAAATGGCTCCTTTTACCCGACTCTCCCCTATATATATTATAAGGCATGACCAATAATATCTGTAAGTGGTTGATTTTACAGTGTTTGCTCTCCTGCTTTTGACCAATTAAAGGAAACAAAATTCCACACAATAAGAAAAGTGGATGGCGAATAAAATCTCAAAAACATGATATTAATATCAGTTTGAAGTTGCACACAATGTAGGCGTTAAAGGTTTATGATCAAACAGAAAGACTCAGACTGTGTGTGTGTGTGTGTGTGTGCCATATGGGACCCATAAAACCAAAGGAATGAAAGACTATTTCAATTAACATTTCCCACATACACACTAAGAAAATCTTGATGTGTTTACTCTTGGAATAAACATTATCACAACAGCAGCGGGATCTCTGGAGGGGAGATTTTTGCACTTGGAGAGATTTTTGCTTTCGTTGGTGTTTGTCACTGCTGCTGCCAAGGAGAGGAGAAATCTTTAATAATTACACAATTTACTTTTTCATCCCTTCCGCCTTCCTCTTTGTATTTGATCCAGTTTTTCTTTCAACTGAGTTAATGTAACAAGTTTTATCTCAGTGTAGTGAGGTGGTAAAGATCCGCCGAGGTTTGTGAGGCTTTTCTAAAAGATTCAGATTCCCCCTGTGAGAAAAGCTCTCTTACCTTTATCCCCACTAAAGCTGAGCATAATATTACCGTGTTGCCTGAACCTCCTAGCTATTACAAGGCTGTGAAGAGGATTCTCCAAGGTTAAGGAATAGATTAAGGATATTTTCAGAATAGATTTCAGCCCAGTAAAGATGTTTCTCTCTCTTTCTGCAGGATTAGTGTCTATGAGTTGTACTGTTCTTGTCCCAGCAACGAGAAGCTTACCGTATCCACCTTTCCCTCTCCCCACCCCAGGAGGCCTTGGAGCTCTTCAGGCCAGACTTCATCAACCGATCTCAAGGTCGGGTGAGGAGGTTGGAGCAGCGGGCTGTGAGGAGGAGAGCGCTGCAGGAGTCCAGTCTAGACCTGGTGCAGGACCTGAGGGAGGAGGGATGCAGACAAAGGAGGAAGTGCACCACACCAGATCCACTCAGTGGTAAGAGCAGTGGAATAACCTGGCTGAGTGGAAGTAACCCCTTAAATAAAATACGATTTCATGTCTTCTGGTCACTAGACAGCCAATCTTCAGGTTTCAGTTCCACTCTCAGACATGATTAGGATTTTTCACCCTCGGAATGACAGCTCAGAAATCAGTCTGATCAGGATTCAAAAGAACCAGGCCTCATCTTCAAAATCGATCGTTTTCCATCTATAATCTGTTGTTGTATCACTTCATATAATCCTGGCACTGCTGGGATTATCACTCCTTCAGTGGGTGTATGATTTTCTGGCAAAAGACAAACATGTTTGCCCCACGTGTACGCTGGGACATTAAAACAAGGCATTCAGGGTCATGTCACACTGCATCATGTTGCTTTGAAAGGAACAGTGCTCTGTTTCCCAAATTATGCCTGTTAACCCTAATAACCTCAGCTGATCTGAGGGGAAAAAAAAGAGGATTTTGCATATTTTTCTCCTTTATAGTGTGGTGGCATTTATCCAACTTTGCTCTCTGGTGGCCACTATCTGGTATTGCAGATCATTGGAAGCATTTTTCTTCAAAGCTCTGCATGCAGGGAGTACACTCAAGCTGGGACCAGGATTTAATGGTCTCTAAGGTGTTTTCTATTTGTCCCAAATGGCTTTTATTTTAATTTCAAGTAAAACTGCTGGAGAAAGGAGCTGAACAAGGTCAGAATGTGATAAGAAAATATTTGTCATATAGGAAAGAGAAAACATCATACCTTACTTATCAGTGTAAATACTGATAAAATGAGATCTGTAGGTTTAGAGACAGAGATGAGAGGAGAAACAAGACCTAGTCCTGAATAAATGGCAAACGATCAAAAAATGTTTAACAAAATACCAATTTTTAACTAGATATCCAGCAAGTTATTACACTCTCCGTGTGACTGTGTGACTGTAGGGAAACTTCACGTTTATACCACCTTAAATACACTCCCTAATTGGGATGTGGCTTGTCAGGTGAATGCGAGAATGACGAATAGCTAATGTGAATTTAGTAGATCCCAAGTCGACTGCCTCAACTCGTGCGCAGGTGTCGCTCCATTATTGCCTGTCTGCTGGGTCTGTCCCAACCCACACTGCTTCTCTGATATGGTTTTTTATCAGTTTGAGCTCAACACTCATCCTGTTGTCTCATGTCCTTCCTTTTTAGAGATAATACAGGAAAACACCCAAAAAATGAAAAAAGAAAACTGCTGCTGTATATTTGATGCCACCATAGTTTGTGATCTAAATTTCCTGTTTGTAGTTGTCATGTATGGCAATATATTGCGCTCTCGCAGGGTATTTTTTATGCTTTCCTCTCAGAGCAGGGCTGGGATAATAAGATGATAATAATAATCTTCTGTGCCAAAGAGTGGCATGCTGCACCTGCGCCAGTCATTTCACATCACCGGTCCAAAGGCTTCTGCAGAGGAGACATTCAGACCTTCTCCAGAGGCCTCCTCTCTTCTCGATCTCTGTTACCTCCGGGCACTTTTAACAAATTGGAAGATCCTTCATCATGGCAGAGGGGAAACAGTTTCAGGTTAACCAAGGAGAGAGGATCCAAGGATGTCCAACTTAATAAAGCGGGAAACAGACATAGGCAGATAACCAGAAACACTCATGCTTACAGACACTTTAAAGTGACCAGACTAGCAAACAAGACAAGCATGTCTTTGGACTATGAGAGGAAGTTGTAGTCACAGGAAAGAACATATGTACAGGGAGAACAAACAAACAAAACACATTAAAAGGCCTGGATTTAAGTTTGGATATCTCTTGTTTTGAGCCAGCAGCATGACACCACCCTACTATTATTTAGTTTAAGTTATATAACTGTTAGAATCTAAATACAGCTGAGAGGTAGCTTAGCAATCAGATATGACTGATGAAATCATGTGAAGGGTAGAGGGTGCACATTGGGTATTCATTCAAGGCATGCAAAGATGACGCTTAATTCAACCACAATTTTAACAAAATAAAATCGTGTATCAATCCATTTTCTACCGTTTATTCCCATTGGGGGTCGTGGGGGGACTGGAGCCTATCCCAGCATCTTCGGGCGAAGGCAGGGGACACCCTGGACAAGTCGCCAGTTCATCGCAGGGCTGACATATAGAGACAAACAACCATCCACGCTCACATTCACATTTACGGTCAATTTGAAAGTGGCCGATTAACCTAACCCCACTTCTGCATGTTTTTGGGATGTGGGAGTACACAGAGGAAACCCACACAGACACAGGGAGAACATGCAAACTCCACACAGAAACGCCCTGACCCAGTTTCAAACCCAGGACTTTATCGTTGTGAGGCATCAGTGCTAACCACTACCCCACTGTGCCACCCTAGAATCACCTACTATAGCTTTAATTTGCATCCATTGTCCTTTGGCAGGTCAAAATGAGGAAAATGCAGCGTTATAAACAGCACTGAATAAACTAGACTGCAACACAAGAAGCAAAACACAGGGAAGCACATAATAATAAACACAAACACATGCATACATGCACATTCTAGCTTAAATTAGCCAAGTCAAAAGCATTGATAGTAGCGGAGTTCCCATAATATCACTATTTCTCGGTTCAGTTTGATAAACAAACTCTTTATCTGCACCACACCTGATGTATTCAGGTGTTTGTCTTGGCTGCAAATCCAACAGTGTTAGGGACACATTAATACGGCACTGAGATGTAATACTTTCAGAAATGAAAAGTCTCCGAGTTAGTTTTGAAAGGTCACAGAGGAGTCGTAAAATTATCTGTAGGAACCTTGAACAGCTCTCACTGATCTCTGACTGAAGTCTAAAGTCTAATTATGAACAAAGAGTGTTGGCGCTGTTGACCTGAGAAGCACTCTGCCAATTCACCTCAGTTCAAGCTGTGAGAGACAAAGCAGCCAGTGTCTTTTTTTTATATATATGTGTGTGTATGTGTGCATGTATTAATGCTCAAATGTGTATCTGTCTAGAAAAGAGAGATCACACACAGCCCTCAGTGTTCATTAACATATTCCAAGTTCATTTACATATTAATACTGATTTGTTATTCTTATGTGTTTGTTTGTGTGTGTGTGTGTTCTTGTGTGTGTATGTGTTTGTGCATGCATGTCCCAGATAACCTTTTCAAGCCTAGAGAGAGGTCTATATCAGGCAGAGAGATGCAGCTGAGGTCCAGACGGTGAGTTCTCCTGACGATGACACGCTGTCTCTCCTCCATTTTCTTTTTTTTTTTTTTTGATTCAGCAAAATCCATCAAGCTTGTTTGTCATATCCGTCATGCATGCAGGGCTTCTGCTCAAACACAATGCACATTTACACACCTACGTACTGTATGGGTACAATAGACTTTCTGACGGCCAAATGTCTCAACAGGAGATACGGGGTAGTCTTTGTACACCTTATCTCTGTCTCCCTCTTTTTTCTCACCTTATCTGAAAAGGCACACCTGATCCGATGATGGCTGCCCATTGTAATTTTTTTCTCAAACGGGACACTATCTGTCTTGGAGGATCTTTTAACAAATTGGCTGTAGTTGTGGGAGTGAAAAAGGAGTCTGTGTGCGACCTGTTTATCAGTGCATCCAGGTTTTTGCTGGATGTGGCCTCACTAGATAATACCTCGTCTCTCCTATGCCAATCTGCTGACACGGCTCAGCCACCCTGACACTTCTGATACCAGATTCCCCTGCTTCTGTATGAATTTGCCTTTCTTATGTCTGTAGGATTTACAACAAGCTACCAGAAGTGACAAAAAAGAAGGAGGAGGAGAAAAAGAGGGCTGTATCACAAACCAACAGACTGCGGGCAGAGGTATTTAAAAAGGTACAGTTTGAGACCTTGATCACTTATTCAATAGGACCGGGGAACACACACACACACACACCTGCAACAACTGGAGCAAAAAGAAAATCTCCAACTTTAAAAGTTCAGAGCACTTCACTTTGTGTGTTGTGAGACATCTCTGGTTCACAACAAATGGATTCACAAAGAGCTTTGACATATAGGCAAAACTGTACAAAAGGACAAAGCAAGAACATAGAGCACAAGAGTTTTGTGTTGATCTATTTTTGCAACTGTTGAGAAAATGTACAAGTTTGGAAAAACAGCAGCAACACTCCTGTTATAATGCATTATTAGTACATTTATATCACTGTATTCATGCATCTATAAGGTTTAATAACAAGCCTTACAGATGATAATAAGCATTTATAACAGCTTATAGCAATGTTTATAAAGTGTTATAAGCATTGAGCATAATACCTTATAGAAATGCCTAAAACGTGTATCTTAAAGTCACTGTAAACGAACGGAGGGTAACACTTTATTTGACACCTATCTATATAAGGGGATTAATCGTATATTAATAATGTGTTATAATCATGTTATAGCACTGTTTAACTATAGTTACAAACACTCATAAATGATCATAATCCTTTATAGCAATAATCATAACACATTATAAAGCATTTTATCATGACTTACAAGGTCAGGTATTATAATGTGTTACAACTGTTAACAACTCACTGACAATGCCCACTTAGATAATGCATTGCGACTGTTGTTAACAGTAATAACACATTATAATACCTGATCTTGTAAATCATGATAAAACACTTTATAATGTGTTATAATTATTACTATAAAGCATTTTGATCATTTATCAGTGTTTATAACTATAGTTATACAGTGCTATAACATGATTATAACGCATTATTAATACATGTATAATCGCATGATAGAGATAGGCGTCAAATAAAGTGTTACCGAGTGGACATTTTACAATGGACCCATTTTAAAACAACACTGTTGCAAACTAAACCAAAAAAACAACACAATCCATTTTATCTCACTGTTCATCACTGTGTGAGAGTACTGGCACTCTGTAGTCAGTCAGTCCTGGGGGGAGCATTGTCTGTACAAAACAGGGATAAACTGGATAAGGCTGTCAGACTAGCTAGCAAGATAAATGGGGAACAAATGTGTAGTGTTTCTCACACAACCAACCAATGCAGATTGAATGTGGCTCACAAAATCACAGCAGACCCACTTCACTCCCTCTGGTCCGGTAACACTCTTTTAACTTCAGGGTACAGCATGCCCAGGGAGCAGACTAAAAGAGGCATCACATCATTTATCCCACTCGGCATTCAGCCGCTGAAAAAACCCAGTGCACAGTCCGAACTTTGCATGCTGCACTTTATGTAACACGGCATTTGATTTTCCTCTGAAGTAGCCATGCAATGTTTTAATGATGTACATCTGAATGAAGGTTCATTTAATGTTTGTTTGTCTATGTGAACTTGCGCATTTTGATGCCAGAAAGGTTTTATTCATCACAAAAATGTGCTACATATTCTGATCCATTCAGGTGTTTGTCCTTTATTTATGTATTATTGGAGTTATTGTCTTATGATCAATCTAGATTAAAAGCCTTTAGGATGTATGATAACATTAGTAAGTAGTTAAAAAGAAGGTTCTGTATAAATGGATGATTATATATAAGGATAAAATGAAACATGGCTAATGCTTATCCAGCAGAGGTCAGTGTTCCACCGCTAAAGCGGAATCTCTTGCAATTCATCACTATGAGCTGCCACCTAAAAAGAGTGTGGTCTGTCTGTAATCTGTTTATTTTCTTTGTGTTTCATGTCAATTCTGTTACCTGTCCGTGTCTTCTTTAAAATCATACCAGGAAACTAAAACATTTCCACATCTTCTTGGACTACCCAACTATTCAACACTACTGGTCCAAAGTAAAACAAAAGGTTGAATTAATAATGGATTTTTTACATTTTAATATGGTTTCTGTTCAGTGTATCTCAGAAATATCTCCCCCACAGTCAGTTCTGGTCGTAATTATCTAATAATCTGATGGTAGGAAAACTGATGCAAGAAAGTGGCTGACTAGAAAAAAAATCCTTATTGTTTGGACAAATAATCAGCTCAGTTTTACGCAATGGCTTCTCAGCAAGAAAATAGATGATTCACAAATATAGATGTATGTGTGTGTATATTTTTTGGGGTATAATAGCCTTCATTAGCGAGGACCTTTGACCTCTGTTTTGGATGCTTCACTGCAGCACTCTCCCAATGCTCACTGTATGGCTCCATGATAGTAACTGTCTCCTAAATATAGGTAGTAACACAAACTCATCTGTCAGAATGGATTGAAACGACTCTTACATTCAACTCCTCTTTCATTGTATGAGCAATACCAAAACAACAAATGAATTTATTGTTCAAAGTTTGTGTTTGTGTCTATAGAATAAAAACACCAAGAAACTTCTATGAAAAACTTGATCCTTTCTGCATAAAATTTTAGCTCAACTTAATTTTAATACCTCTATATCACTTTGGCTTCCAGCATTGTAAAAAGCAACACTAACAGTTTTACCTGAATATATCCTATACAGACATGCATAGTACCTGTTTTTACAGGAAGCGCCCACATCCTCTAACAGCAAGGGATAGGTGGGAAAATGAATGATATATTTAGGACATGCTGTGTCAGACGGATCCACTCAGCATCACTTGTGGCATGCCCTCAGCCACTCTGCTATGATAACCCCGACGTAACAATGACTCTGCTGTCAGCCAAGTGAGATGAGAAAAATACAAAGAGCTGTCTGTGATGCTTTACAGGTAATGACACAATCACTGCAGCTCTGCACAATGTGTGTGTGTATTATTGAGAGACAGGAAGTGGATCCAGCTGTAGGAGACTTTGGGTTGTATTTTATTCAAGATGAGCAGGCATGATTGAGTTGTTGATATTTAGGTCAACCAAGGGAACTATTTTGCTTTAAGCTCAGGGTCAGACTCTTTGGACAAGGGTCGCCTAACAAGGACACTCATGCAGGGGTGGCATAAAGTTTAAGTTCAGGGATTGAAATTTCTCTTTATATGATTAATATAATCTTCAATACTAATAATAAGGTATCATAATGGATGATACTTCCTATAAAAAGAATGACAACTTATATATTCCTAATGTTTAATTCTTTTAAATTTGAAAAGAAGACACATTACTTAAAGTCCTGGTATAAAGCACCAAAAGGGGATACATGTGACATTGAAATGCAACAAAAACCAGCAGTATGTACCATTACAGCCACGAAGAAAAGCCCCACCTCTGGTTTAACAGATGGCTAATTAAGAAAACACAGGGGGCCAATCACATTTGATAGTGGGGCAGTGCCACCCTGGACCACACTCTGGTCATGCCCTTGTTCTGGCCTCCAGTGTTTTTGTCTCTTTAGGCTACAGTGAATCAACAATAATCGATGTTTTGGGGTTCTTGACACATTTTGATGTTCAATTGCTTTTGAAGAGAACATTTTATTTCCTGAGGAAATAGAGTAGGTGGGACTGGTGACCTTACCACCTCTCAAATGAAGCTATTAGCCAGGCTGAACTACAGCAAGAATAGAGTGGATATGTGTGTGTCTGTGTGTGTTGGAGGCAAGAATTCTACAACACACACACACACACACACACACACACACACACACACACACACACACACACACACACACACACACACACACACACACAGCTGCAGAGGAGTCACAGTGGGCTCTGATTTTGTGCAGTTAAGGGGTGGATGGTTTTGAACGCTGGCTGAAATTAGATTCCAGCTGCTGGGTGCTACTGTAAGACGGGGGTGCATAGCAGGGTGTCTGGTCCGGTAGCAAAAGTTAGAATTATTTCCCCCACCCGTGCTGGGACACCTCAGGAGCAAGGCTGATGGAAGTGGAAGCCAATTTAGCAGCAGGAGTTGCTCCTGTGTGATGCAGAGCTGCTCTTAGGAGATTGAAGGAGGGGAAGTGTGAGAGCAATAGATGTGTTTTTGATCTGTTTGTTCGGGAAGAAAGATAACAGTGCTGTTGTTGTTTTTTGTTGTTCGCAGAAACTCCTGGACCAGATCCTGCAAAGATAAACGAGAGACACTGACCGCTCTTCATGCATAACAATAAATGCATATTAGATGTAACTTTGTGTCTAATTCAGCTAATTCTCCAAACAAACCAATTCTCTCCCTGCACAATTAGTTTCTACTTATTGGGCTCTAGTCTTGTTAAATATGTTCACAGAAAATGCATTATTTGTAATTGGCAATGAGAGTTTGCAGATTTGAGGTAATTGGAAGACAGGTTTGGAGTATTCATTTCAATTTCGTTTTCTATACAATTAGCTGTGACAAATTATAAGGACACACAACCAAAATTAGCATAATAAAGCTATTTATGAGATTTAATGTCCATGGCATATGCTTTTGACTTAATGCGTGCAGGCAATGACAAAGCCTAGTTTTTTCAACTAACAGCGCTTCCATAATTTAAAGACACTGAAAGGTCTGACAGTTGAAATATTAAAGCAATTAGCCTGACATCCATCTTCCTTGCTTAAATTTAAACCCAGTAATTAAATGCACCACAGATTCATCCTATCATTCTCCTTATTTTCCTCCAAACGATCTGATTTTTATCTCTAACGGCATTTTTCACCATCTCAAAATATAATAAGAGGATTTCAAGGACATTCTTTGCAGGAGTGGTAACATTTTCCAGGAAATTGAGTCTTGATGCTTTAAGTATAGCACCTTGACTCTGACATTGGTACAGCACTAGAGGTGTTTTTAAAGCAAGCGAAGAGGAGAACCCTGTTTCGTCATTGACTCCTCAACTGCCTCGAGGCCTCTGGAGCCTCCCATCCGGAACAGTGGAATTCCAAGCTAATCGAACTCAGGAGACACACACAGCGCCTTGTGAAAGGAGGTCTTTGTCGCCACGCTCCAAACCAGAGATGACATTGTAATAAGAGAGGAGACTTCTGTGCACAGCCTGACTGCAGTCCACATTTAGCCTGTAAAGGTGAATGACATCCTGGTGGCATTTAAAGAGAGCCTGCTGGGATGAAGAGAGAACATGCGGAAGGACATGTTCAGCAGGTCTCAGACAAACGAACCACATACTTACAGTACGTACACATTGTTTTGGCTTACCATTGTCGGCTTGTTGTTCTGGAGTTAGAGTGTATTAAACCCAGAACAAAATAAAAAGTTGGAGTCAAACCTAGATTGATTGTGAATAATGGCTTGCATCCAGTTGCGAACACCATCTTTGTCTCGCAGAAGAGAGAAATCCACATGAGAGAGATGATCTCCTGCCATGTCGCCTGGTTACACACATTGAGCAGCAGATTGACAGGAAGTTACATACGATCCGAAAGGCTCCTGTCAGTCAGCCTCGCTCTCTGTGAGACATCATGCGTCTCTATGTCACATTGCGATCTGTATATAATAGACTTTGTCCTCTGAGGACTCACGGCTGGCGTCCAAATGGCCTTGACTGACTCAGGGCAAGACTGATATGTCTGTCTGAGAAAGAAGAACAGCAAAACAGCAAAGCTTCAAAGTCCAATATTGGTGCAGATCCATGAGTGCATTTGGGCCCCATTGGAGTCTCTTCCCAACAATGGCTCTATGTTATAGTATGGCGGTATCTCTATAAATTGTCTTCCCAGTTAAAGGATCTACTGTTAACTCAATAATATATCATGCTGGATAGCAACAAGCTTAAAAAGGGGGGGGGTTGTTCAAAGTATGCACATAAAATCAAAACCAACAATGTGAATAACAGAAAATAAGCTCTTTTTATGGTGGGGCGCTTAAAAAAGACTTTGAATTATAATATGATAATATATATATGGCAATTATGAGACTCTTGGACGGTCTATTGTGGGCCTTTACATATTAGTTTATTGTTCATGTTTAATGTTGTACAAGGAGCAAGGTTGGGAGACTGAAAAAAGTTGACAAAAACTGAATTTGATGGTTTTATAATCATTGAAACTCTGTAAACTCGAAACTAGAACAAAAACAAAATTTGAAACAAAAGTGTTGAAACTGCAAACTAAGTTTTATTGTTTTGCAACCAAAAAAAAATAAGTGTGCCCGTTTTCAATTTGATGCCAGGAACATGTTTCAAAGAAGTAGAGACAGGGACAGCAAAACATGGAAAAAGTTGTGCAATACTCAAAACACCCTTGAGGGGCATATCTTAACTTAATGAGGTTGATTCGCAACAGGTTTATAACATTACTGGGTATGAAAAGGGCATTTGGGAGAGGCTGAAGCCTTTAAAGTATAGGTAGGAAGAGTTTCAGCACTCTGAAGGGCTGCATGACCAAGATTTCAATGATTTCAAATCAATATTCTTTATCTTAACATTTCAAAGAAGTTGAGGATTTCATCGCCAAGAGTACAAAATATCATTGCAATATTAAGATAATCTGGAAAAAAACTCTATACAAAAAGGGAGGAGGCCTGCAACCAATACTGAATACTTATGATCTTGCCCTCAAGTGGCACCAGAGTTACATAAAACACACAACTCTTTAGTAGAAATCACTGCATTAGCTCAATAACAAACAATTGTCGCAATCTACTCTACATGTGCAGGTTACAATGTACTGTCCAAAGAGGAAACCATAAATGAACAGGATCCAGATATGTCAGCAACTTCTTTCACATTTGGGAAAGTCTCATCAACACTTAATAATTTAGTATATAAAGCTTAGGGTGCAATATACTGCCACTCAGACAATGCCTTCTCATGGTACAGCAACAAGATGCGAAACAACATTTTGCATGTATTTAAATAGTTTGGATCCAAAGTAGAAAAGTTTGTGTACCAAACTGGTCTGCCTGCAGTCCCAGCTTGATTGATAGCATTTGGTACATTGTGAAACAAAAATATGACAAAAGAGAACTGTGAAGCTGCTGAAATCCTCGAACAAGCAAGAATGAGACAAGATTCCCCTTCCCAAACTACAAAAACTGGTCTCCTCAGTTCCTGTGTTTACAGAGTGTTGTTCAAAGGAGAGCTGATGCAACACAACGGTAAACATGCCCCAGTCCCACCTTTTTTTTTTAATAAATAAAAGAAGCTTCTGACATGAAATTTGAAAATGAACATAAACTTTTCATAAAAACAGCACCTTTTTCAAATTCAATACTAGATTTGTCGTGAACGATTTTTATTCAAATTAATGGTTTAAATGATTTGCATGTGTTTTTGTGAATTACAACCCTACGCATTATATGCACGGCCAATAAAGCTGGTTACGATTATTATTCTGTTTCTGATTAGGTCTGACAACAAGGACACAGAGATAAACTAAAATGTTCCAGTTTTTAAGACCCAACTCAGCTCAGGAAAAACTCAGATTTCTCAGGTTACATTTTCACAAGGACATCTGTGACTCTAAACCCTGCAGCGTACACACTCTAAAAAAGATTAGACTCAACCAGACCAAGTAGCCTGTGCACAACACAGATGGGGCCATGGTGAAGACAGTTTGTTCCTGTGTGTGTGTGTGTGTGTGTGTGTGTGTGTGTGTGTGTGTGTGTGTGTGTGTGTGTGTGTGTGTGTGTGTGTGTCTTGCGTCTGGACAGTCAGAAAGAAAGAAGAGAAAATCCCCTCACAGTGATGTTTCAGAACTGAAGCGTAACTCATCTCCTTTGATTCATTTTCTTTTATAGAAATATTTACTCTTTAACTGCATTATCAAGTGTTTTTAATCCTTTTGTCTTGACTTTACAGACCTGAAGTCATGACATATGTAAGTCATGCAGTTCAGATATGTTATACATTCAAAGCTCTGTTTTAAATCCTATGTAGAATATAAACTTTGAGCAGAAACTCAGGCTTCTTCTAGTTAAAAGCTGACTTTTATTTTATGTCAAGGTAAGTGAGTGTACATGCATTGATTTAGTTTGACACAACTTATAAATAATTTTACACTACACTTCCAGCAAAATGCTCTCCAAGCCCGAGTCAAATGAGGTACCTGTCAAGGGCATTGACATTGTATGACACTGAGTGGAGTAAAGTGGGACTTAAATACCCATGCCCTAAATAAAGGTTGATGGGCCTCAGATAAAAATACAGTTTTTGATCTCTAAGTGGGCAGATAGTTGAATTGAACCCTGATGTTGGGGAATGAGGTTTGATTTATGGGGTGAAGACCTTAATGCTCCACTAATTACAAGGATTAGTGGTGTAGTCGTAAGCCCTTACGCAGTGCAGCAGTAGACCTTGGGTTTGATTCCTTACAGGGCGTTTTATTTGACTATCACTGTGTGATGGAAATACAAACACCTCAACAGTAACAAAGATTGGCGTGCAGCCTCACAGTAAGAAGGCTGCAGGGTCGATATCCTCTAGCCTTGGTAATTCAACATAATGAAATAAAAGAAGTATTCTTTGATAGGCAAGCGCAGCAGCATGGTGGTGTGCGAAACATATTTCATTCATTCATTTCTTGACTGTATGAGAAAAAGGAAATAGCAGCAGAGTAAAAGGAGAAAACGTAATATACCTCCTTTCACCTCAAAGGGGATAGAGGGTGAGGGGGTGATCAAAATGTGTTTCTTCATTTCCTGAGCTTTCAGGAAAAGTCTTTCTCCATGTGCTGCACTGTCCCAAGTAGTCTGCGAATCATGACCTGATACAACCCCACCATACTCGTTTTTTTATGGGGGGGTTCACACATACTGAGCTCAATTTGGAAAATCAGAGTCTTGCACTTTATATCTTTGGATTCACTTTTAAAAAGCTGAATTGGAACAATGATGGTAACAAAGCACAGAGAACTGGAGCTGACAAGGACGGCAGCTTTTGACTCATCTATAGGCAAGTTGGGGTCTCCATCAGGTTTAGGATGAAGGCTCAACACAGAACGACAGAGATCAGGTTTGGAGACTCAGCGTTGGACAACAAGGCAGGTTAATGACAGGAAAGAGAGCACGGTTGGACTGGACATGAAGAATGAAAAGTTTGGTTTTCTAGTTTAGAGGAAAGCTAAAAGCTTGATTTTCTTGAAGTAGGAAAACTGATTAATGGAAACCTCTCTCACTCTGAATGCAAGGAGGCTCTGGAGAAGAAGTCGATGGACACAGGAGGCTGAGCACAGCAATAGGTGTATGTGTCTGTCTGAGTCTCTCTGTGTGTGTTTGTGTAGCATCCTGGTAGGATGGCAGTGGCTTGAATATCAGCTGTGGAGGTTTCCACTAAATGATGATGTCCTTTTAGTTGTAAACATTACTTTTCCATATTATAGCTATTATATGGATAACTATAATGACATATAGCAAAAACAAATTTAAAAAAAATTATTTTAATATACATTTCTGCTTCATGTTGCCATTTTAAATGTTTTTAACAAACCAAACAGCTTGGAAATCATGTGCAATTTAACGAAGGGCATTTCTGCCTCTCCAACTGATGTAAAATTGCTGGGTCAACCTTGTAATACGTATTTGGTCTCACTCACAGCGAGTCTGTTAGCCTAGTTAGACAGCTAATAAACACAAGCACATCCACAAAGACTGTCACTTAGACAAAAAAATATAGGCTGCCATACAAGAAATAAAAATCTTGATTGTGGTCTCAGCCTTGACAACTTGCGCAAAGCTACTCAAAAGTTAGCCCTTTCGCACAAATAGCCGTGAAACAACTGTGCTACACGATTAAGTCTTTTTTTCCTCAAAGAAAAGCTGCCTTTTCAATATGTCCAAGCACCCCGACTCATAACCACGTTATTAAGGTCTGTAATAAACATGACCGTTTGTAAATCCGTCAAGATTTCAGCGAGTTAAGAGTATTTCTGATCATGCAAATTACTCACCTTCCGTCAGCTACCATACAATGTACCAGAATGGTACACTGAAGTAAGATGGCCGCCGTGTACGGAGGCCGGGGACTCCGCCTCGATTCATTTGGCCTTTCTTATATATGTCTACGCGTGCAACGCTACCGCGCTATGTTGGTTTCAGGAAGTGGAGAGAAAAGGCGGAATTACCGAGAGCTTTTCGGCTTTAAATCCGTATACTGGCGGAACCAAGTTGTTCATAGTATATATACAGTCTATGGTCATTCTGTGAAAAACAAGTAAGAGGTTTTTAAGACGCAAATGAATCCAATGTTGAGATTGAAGGTTCAATAACTTGGTCTGGGATCCGCCTGGCGTTAGGACCCAGCGAAGCCCTCAGCGCACATGGCAGTGTGGTCGCTCCTGTGTGAGAGGGAATGGTAAATCCGCTTCACTATCCTCCAACATTCCCTCATTCTGTCTTTCCAACAGCTCCCTGCCGTATCCAAATCACATGAGCCGCTCATTTACACACAAACACTAACACATGAGGTGGTACGGTGTTATTTTCGGGAGCGTTGCCCGTCTACCGTCCGGGGAAGGAGGGAAAAGTTGTTGACAGCTTCTTTTTTGGGAATGACAGTCTGCCTCATCTTTTTGGAGTCTTGGCGGTGTTGCTTTTTACTTTTTTAAAACACGGTGTTTCTACACCAAACCTTTGCTTTGACCTGTATTTCCACCCTGTGTCTGAAGCAATCATCTTAAAGTGAGTGGTCGTGCGCAATCTGACCGGAGCGCATTCCCCCGGCTTTACCCCACCGAGCCCGGGCATCATGAGAACCTGGAGGCGGCGGAAGAACTTTGCCTGTCTGATCTTCGCTCTCCACCTCTGGTGCCTGTCAGCGGCTGTAGAAAACGCTGACAACACGGTTTACAATGTACAAGGAGGTGAGTGAACAACATACATCTGAACGTTTTTGTTATATTGTGATTTAGCCAATATCTTTGAGGTGGACTGTTAGGATTACATTTGTTCACGTTTTATGAGGACACATTTAGTCAGGTGAGCTTTCACCTGCAGGTTTTCATCTTACATTTTGCTCAAAGACTCCTTATGTTACATCACCATTTGATTCACATCTGTCATTGTCTTGCGTACTTTGAATCAGAGACATGCAGAGGGGAAAAGACGTTTTTTTCAGATCCATCTTTCTGCCCTGGAGGAACAATAAAAGGAAGTGTGGACAGATGTTTTTAACATACAGGAGGATATAGCCTTATCTTTAGGTTGTAAACTTAAACAAACCGGATATTTTTATTATTCACAGGCTAAAATTAACCTTCTAAATGAAAACCCAGTAAAAGGGTATTGTGCTTGAGTTTGTGTGCTGATCTAAGACAAGGTAGTTTAGAAATAGTGTAGATAGACACAGATGAAAGTATAGTATCTATTATAGATATACCACCTTACAAACTCTGAAAGCTTCTTTTTATTCAACATTATTTACCGCCTTCATTTTTTTTTCAATGCGGTGGATGAGTCTTAAAAAGTTTGCATGAAACAGTGCAACACCCTCAGCCTTAAAATACAAAAATAAAATAATTGTATTTATGCCAGTGCAAAATGTTCATTCCTTTTAAAACAATAGCTGGAGTATAAAATTCTGCTTTTGCTCCTTATTGTTGTTTATCTGATGCAAAGTAATACAAATCCTGAGGGTGCATCATTAATACTACCTCAGAAATGATGGCAAAGTTCCCCATCAGAGTTATAGTTATGTTAAAATCGGGCTAAAATAGTTCTTAGGGGTGGTGTGGGTATTGAAATAGAGCAGTATGTACCACCTCTTTGATGTCAGCAGGATATTGACTTCCTCTCTATGAGATGTTTTCATGGCTTCTTACACCTTGGTGGAGATTGAGCCACCATCTCTTAATGTCATGCTGTAATTTTTGAGCAGCAATGAAGCAAGAGAGGTTTCCCTTTAGGCGTACTCATCCTCAGATCTCTTGCATTGTTTGGATCAGTTCATGTAAATGAAGAGAGATAGAGATCTTATTACTATGAAGTGTTATCGACTTTTTTTTTTTGAGAAATAAGCATGACTTCAGCATCATCGCTTATCTAAATATTGCCGCAGTAGTTCACATGTCATTCCTTACATTGAGCTAACATCATGCCACAATCAAAATCAAAGTTTCTTCTACTGTTGTGAGACTTTGACGCAGTACCTTGGCCTAATAAACAAAGAAAAAAAAGTGCTGACACATGTTTTGCCGTCATTTCTGGTCCTGCTGCCTCTATCCTTATCTGATCTCTGTGTCTGGATTTTACCGTGGGCAAGGATCAGGCAGCTTCTCTGCACAAACAAATTTATGCACACACAGACAGACGCACACACAAACACACACAGCAAACCAGGTGAAGTGGAGATAACATGCTTCTTGAGGCTAATAGGTGTTTTTCCAGACAACTGCATAATTTAAGCCAGCACTACAAGTCCACTGTGGGAACATTTTGGGTTTCATCCAAATGAGTGGGGAGAGCCCATCGATAGGAAACAGCCTGTAATTATTGACGTTGGTGGGAAATTAATGGCCTTCAAATCATAGAAATGTTGTTAATCGCTTCCCTTGACATCAGGTCGGGGCACATTTCCTATAAGTAGTCTCAGTGATTTTAAATTGAGCAACATTTTGAGACCAGCTTGTGTGCCTACTGTTTATAGTTTAAGCACATACTGGAAAAGAAGTTGGATGCTCCTCCGTAGCACAGTTTTCTGGTCATGAGGTGGACTAAAATTAATGTAGATGCCTTTCTGTGACCCACAAAAGCAAACAACACCAACAGGGTGTTGACAGATTATTTCTTTATGGTTATTTTGAATGCCTGTAAACACTGGGAGGGGGAGGGTGTCAGATATAGAGATTAACAGCACACTTTAGAGGTCGATTATTTTTTATATCTACGTGCAGGGATTCAGTAAATATTACATTTGACTGTTAAAGGACCAAAAAGGATGACTTTTTAAAAATCGAACAACACAATCAAACACGCTCCTCACAGTAGCTTTAATGTGTCATTTAAACAACAGTAGTCAAAGCAGTGATCAGTGACTCACTTTAGAGTCTACTGTTTATGAAAACCTTGTTGTCATCAAGTACAGAGGCCATTGTGCCTTTTGCTTCGGGAAATATCTGTTTTACAACTAGATCAATACAATCTCTGTCTTTTGCTGTTCTGTCATTTTATCAGATTGTTTCTTCTATTTGAGCACTGTGCTTGAATTTATGTAAATGGCACTTTCTCAGATTTAGATCTTCATTAGTTTTCTCGCTGTTCAGCTGTCTGTTTTTATGACTTTTGGATGTTTGAATTAAAATTTGGCTCTTGATATTTACTGCTGCTGTTCATAGCAGAGCTGATAACAGTGACTGTTTTCATAGAAAACCCACCAGAGGTCCCACTGATTACTTTAAGCTATATTGCCTGTGGTTTATTTGCAGATCGGTAGAATTTGAGAACATCGTGTATTTGTTGGCAAGAAAACAAGATGCCATGTCGTCAAAAGGCAGCTCGTGATGTATGTTGAGTGTAAAAATGTTCCTTTAGGCCAAAATGGGTTGGCTCCACAGTGTCCTAAATCCTGTACAACTGGTCGCCTGACTTTAGCCAGATTTGTGATGAATGTCTTGCCAGGATCGACCAAACCTGGGCTTCTGCCACGAGCTTGTCCAACTGCAACAGATTTGCAGCCTTGATGGGCCAAAGTCCACACCCCCCTTAAACCAAGTGTGCCAACCCTCAGCTGCAATCGACAACCTGGAGAGGGGTCAAAAAATGAGAGGGTCTTTTATCTGGTGGGATTTTAAAAGGTGTCATGTTGAGTATATTTCAGTCTTGGAGTTGGTTATGTTATAATGCTGAGAGTTTCTAGAGGGAAAACTAATCAACAAGTGAAATCACTGCCCAAGTTAATAAGCAGGATTGAGGGCAGAAGTTCAAATGATGTTTTTATCAAAGGCTTTCAAAGAGAAAAAGCAAAGTTTGTTTTAAAATACCACTAAAACTGGCTATTCATGAAAACCTTTGCATATGTAGCATTCAGATACACCTCACAGTGTATTATTCTGTCAGATTTGACCCTGAGACCTTTCATTTAACATCCCACATTCAAAGCACTTGAGATGACCCAGCTGGTGGATCCTAGAGCGAAGCTGTGATTTTTTTTGTTTGACTCCATCTCTGTCTAAACGCTGGTATTACTCAATTTAAAGGTTCATGCCCAAGAATCTTCAAAGTTCAAACCAGGCAAGTAGGAGGTGAACCAGCTGGCCACTCATTAGCTTCAAAAAGGCTAGAAGCAAAACTAAAATAAGTCCCTTTAGGGCAAGAATCAAACAGGCTGTGTTTACAAATCTTTAATGAATCTCCTCTCTCTCCGAGGCTTTACGTCTCTGTATCTCTCTTTGTCTCTCCTCTGCATATCAACTGGTTTTACAAGTTCTGATCTGTATTTTCTGGGCAGAGGAAAGCTCAATAAATAATTAGAGACCGAACCAAATGACCTGGATTAGATTTGAGGATATTATCTGGTCAGGGCGCAGCATCAGACAGAATTAATTAGAAAGATTAGACTGTCTGTGTTGTCCAAACAAACTAGAGGAGCGGAGAATGAAACCTGCATTGAAACAGAAATTCAGATACATGTGCACTCCCTTCTGGTCTCTTAGGTGCCTAGCCCACATTTCAGCACAGTTTCCTGGGATGTAACTCACACCCATCACACGGTCTGAGGTGGAACGCTGATGTATGGCTACCATTTAGGAAATAACCTCA